GTTGAAAATGTTTAGAGCGAATTAACAAACCGTAAAATGATCGTTATAATTGCATAACGGCTTGTGAAATAATGAAACTTATAGGAAGTAACGTTGGAAACGAGAGTGGCGAAGGTGCCAAGTTATCAGAAGCAACGCAGATAACGAGTTGGGAAGCCGTTGCGTGGCTAACCCAACACGCACTTTCCACAAAAAGGAAATAGTTAAAAAAAAAAAACTAATAATAATGGCAAGAACGATATTAAACGTCAAACAAGAAATCGAACCAAGTGAATTCCTTAATCCAGTGTTTCTCAAACTTAGAAAATAGAGTGCATGCTATGTGTATAGTGAAATGAAAAATATCCTACGGTGTCGTAAACCATAGAGTTGGACAAATATTGGGAACTAGTGAGAGTTGTTTTGTAACAATATCTCGATCTCGAATGCATAAAATTAGAGGCATATTTAATACCTTTATCGAAGGGGTGAAAGTGTAGTTTGAGAAACACTGCCTAAAGTATTGCAAATAGAGAACGCACCAATCAGATTCCACGAAAGCAAGTCACTAAACACGCGCCGGATTTGTACATTCGAGGCGATTAGTGTTTATCATTTATCTTGTCATAACAAACGATACAAGGAATCCAGTATAAAAAAAAAAAAACAGTTTTCTTCTATGTACACGTAAAATACGCTAAGTTAATTTTACATATTAAGCGTGAAAATGAATTTATGTACAAGAAGACTAATACACTTCATACTTTGTAATGCCCATCAGGTTGAGACTGACATAAGTTGCGTATTCAAACTCATTTTAATGGAGGTTCGTTTGAGGGTTCGTACGCTTGGTATTTTAATCTAACAAAATAAGTCAAATATATGAATTTCTACTCGAAGTAGAATAGTAAATATAAAAGCACAAAATTAATGTACATAGAATCGCGAAGTGAAAAACAAATCACTCGCGGTGCCAGAAATTTACAGGTCACGTGACTCGACAACATTGTATTCTTTGCCATAGCGATTCACCGACAATAATCAGCCACGCTTTCAGCTCCGTCGTTGAACCGTGTCGAGAACGTATTCAAGCAGCTTAATCGTTACAAATATGTTTGTCGCGCAATTATTTGACATCGAACAACAAGTCCATTGATCCCGATAGCCATTCTTTCGGAATTGTGATTTTCGGTACTCGTATTTTTATCCGAGACGAAATTTCATCCATCTCGTTCTCCCCCCCCCCCCCCCCCATCGTTGCTTCTAGGCGCGAGAAAAACAAATCTTCGAGACACAAGCGTTGCACGTTGTGCCTGGTTTCTTTCTTCTCGAGTCACTTCCTGCGCAGCAGTGACTCACGTGAATCACCGTTGAGCCAGGAAGACGAAAAGGGGAAAGTGTTTGAGGCTGTGTAACCACAGCTGAGTAAAATTTCAAATGGAAATATTTAGTATTTCAAAATGGCAAGGGTAAGTTTAATACTAAAATACATAAATACATATTCAAGTTCAATTCTCATTAGAAAGTTAAGCGATTAAATAGAGAATAAAATACTAAAATACATAAACCATTTATAGATTGGATTATCATCTGCCTGGAGTGTCGAGTACTTCCATTTTTTCTTATAATTCGAGTACTAATTTTTATTTAAGGGGTTAGTCGCAGTCAGGAAAATGAAAACGGACACTTTCTTGTGTGTTTTTTTTAAAAGTATTAAATAATAATTTTTATTAATGAAATTTAAATGTATGACAAAATATATCTTGAGGAACTATAAACAAATTTTTGTTTTACGAAAGGGTTAATTCATTTCGTCATAACAAGCGATGGTGTGGGTGGCCACTTTGTTTGCGGTGAGCAAGATTTCTTCAAACTGGTATACCTGAAAACAAAAATAAAGGTAGATTTGGAGAATATATTAGACTAACGAGTCCCTGATCGAAGGATTTTGGAAAAAATTAATTCAAAACAGAATGACGCACATTTGAAGTTGAAGTTCAATTTTCATCAGAAAATTAAGTGTTTAAATAGAGAATAAAAAGAAAAGTATATAAGAAAATAAAAAATCCTTCGATCAGGGACCCGTTAGTCTAACATATTTTCTAAATCTACCTTTAGTTTTGTTTTCAGGTGCACCAGTTTGAAGAAATCTTGCTCACCCCAAACCAAGTGGTCACCCACGCCATCGCCTGTTATGACGAAATGAATCAACCTTTTTTTTAAAACAAAAATTTGTTTATAGTTCTTCAAGATATGCTTTGTAACAAATTTACATTTCATTAATCAAAATTATTATTTAATATTTAAAAAGAAACACACAAGAAAGTGTCCATTTTCATTTTCCTGGCTGCGACTAACCCCTTAACGAGAAATGTTTGAATAGTCATTTATCTTTGACTCGTTCTTTAAAATTTGTATCTAGATAAGAATATTCTCCACACCTCCGATAACAGCTTATCCAAATAATTGTTCAGCGAATAAATATCGCGAAGAAATCGTTATATAGGATTTCTATTTACGTTTTATAGCTCGAATAAAATTCTGCCAATTTTTGCATCGGATACATGGAAATAAGAATGGTATCCGACTTCGTTTGCAGTGTACCAGACTTAGAGCTGAAACAACCTATTCGAAACGCGTACTTCAGCCAGGTTAGCCGAGAAGCTTCTGCTTTTCGCGCGAACGAAACGACTGGTTTATCTAAACTACACGATAAGCCGGTCTGACGAGATAGACGAACCTAACCTGGACGAAAACTTGGTTCCTTTTCGGGCATCGAGAGCCTCGAGGCACCATTTGACACGAGAAAACGTTCATCGAGGAACGAGTACGCCAGCGATAGAACAACGCGAAAATATTTAAGGTTATAAAGCCACGGGATAATCGAAGATTATCCGCGATAACCGAGGTTCTACCGTGCATTCAGAATTTTCTAATCAATTTTTTCACGTTGTCAGAAGAGAAATGCAGAAAAAATTGAATGCAAAATTACGTTCGACGGCAATATTTGATATTCGACACACGAAATTCGAAAACAACCGGGAAAGTAAAACGCGCGGGCGGCCACCGTGCATGATTTCCGGCGGCGTTTGCCTGGCGTGCCACGCCACAAAGACCTCACGGGGGGGTTGGACGGTGTTCTTTTTTTAGAAGCCACATATCCCTATAGAGACATCGGCTTTCCCCTTACCTAGGCGCCTTCAAAATATTCGTCGAATCCGTTCAGCGTACTCGACAATCCCCGTGCACTTGGAGTCTAACGGCCCTCTGTCGCACTCTTTCCGTCCCTTTCTTCCTCGCGCACTCCTTCGTTCACTATCTCTGTCCCTCTTTCTCTCCTACGTCTCGCCGTCTTTCTCTGCGGCCCACTATATCCCAATCTACAGAGATTCTCCGGCGATTACTCGCTTCCTACTCCTGTGCTCGGTTCGTCGTCCCGTCGGCGTAGCGGACACATCTGAAACCCAAGGGGAGGATCCGGTGGACTTGGCGCACCGTGTGCGATGCCACGAAACGGAAATAAAGAAACGAACGTGTCACTGGCCCGAGAAATTCCGCACTGGACGAAGAGTCTCGCGCGGCACGGCGCGGCGCGGGTGCACCAAAGCTCTCCTCGGGGGGCACGGTCCTCCTTTCGGTCGCCTCGAACAGCCGATACTCACTGGCCTCAAGGCACCCGTTCACACACCACTCGGGATAACCTCTGTCCTGGACCCACGGTTCTCTCCACCGTGGACGGTTCGCGTTGTACGTTATCCCACGATTTCGCAGCACTCTTCGCCGAAAAACCAGCACGACACCAACCCACGATTCTACCGTTATCTAGGGCGATGCCTCTCTGCTGCGAGCCGCTTTGCCTTCTGTCCGTGACTATGCGCGATCGCGAGCTGCGCAGATGGCGTGCACGCTGGGACGAAAGCTACGCACGTCTGCTTTATCTACCGACGGCCGTCCGCCATTTTAACCAGTCGTAGCTTCTGATTGGCGCTCGCGATATATTGTCCTTTTTCGCGAGAGCTATTTTCATGAAACGTAAAGTTACGACTATTTAGCTGTTAATTTCGTTTTCACGTTCAGTCGTGACGTTTAATGCTAAGAACAAGACGATTGATAAACAATTAAAAGTTACGAGTTTACGTCGCTTGTTCTGGCGCTGCGAACGCTTGAAAAACAAAACTAACGTCACGGTGACGTTATACGCAGCAAAAGTACAGACTTTTCGAACTGTTTTCCCGCTTAAACTTATATCTAGTACGGTTAAATAAGATACAAAATTAATATTATAATCTGTTTTTTTTTAATACACGACCGAAATGAAAAACTTGTGCGCATTCCGCATCAGTGGAATGTTAAAATAAAGTTTCGAATGATTTTGTTACGAATTCAAATTTAGTAGCAATGCTATGGAAAAGGCGCCAAAAATGTGCAGTTTGGAGGAAGTTATGCAAACACGGGACACGTACAACGTTAGTTTCCAAAAGACAGGAAGATACGTCACGATTAGTATTCGGTTTAAAAACATTTTGTACGAGTCACCTTAATATCAATTTCGAATTACACAAAATCATAACGGGCTTTTAGTGGCGTCTCAATAACGTTTCTTGTCTAGAAAAGTGTTCGTAGTCGTATACAAATGTTCTTCGCGGCATTCTTTCTTGCTTCGACGGTACGATAGTTCAGTTCGTTGTATTTGAGTTTTGACAGTTGACTGTTATTTCTGTAATGACATATGGAACGAGTATTCGTTTTTGTCAAATGTCGAATAGTGGAAATCCTGGTTCTGTTCTTACAAAATTTGTATTATCTGGATGAGACGAAGCTGTGAGATTGGTAAGTTTTGTTCTTATTCTGTATCAATTTTTATATTCAACGTAACATATTCGAAGAAAACAAGCTCAGGAAAGATGTTTTTATCTCATTTTCAAACTGTCTTTCGTGCCAAATAAGATATTTCGATGTTCTTTAAAATAGACGAATTAAATGTTTTCGATTCGTATAAAAATTTGATAAAAAGAAATGTTTTTCAATTTATAAAGAATCGACATTATCGAATTAACGTTTACATTGGAATTTTACTTTCTTTTATCTATATCTTACATATTAAACTGTTGAACCTGTGATATGCTCGGCATCTATTGTGTGTAGATACATACATGCACATAATTTTCACACTTATACAAATCGTGTGCAATGTGCATCCATTTTGTGCGCACATATAAATGCTATCTTGAAATAAAGCATTTGAGTACACCATAAAATATTTTATAATATCCAACAGTCACCAGAAATTAAAATCATTTAAAAACACGCTCTAACTAAAATTTATTAAAGATATAAATTATAACCGAGCATCCCACGAATACTGTTCATCCTGTCTCATGATACAATTTTAACGGTGCATTTTGATTCTTATGAAATATTTACATTCTTTGTTCTCGCAATACTATAAATTAGTCGTTATTTCTATTGTAATCGTAAGGTTAGAAGTTTGAAACTTTCACGGTATATTTGAGGTTATCTAGGATGCAACGCCATAATTCTGTCATTTGCATAACCACCAAATTCATTTTTATTTTCCTGGTAGATATACCAACTGCGGAGTAATGAATTAAATTCTTGTTTTGTACGTAAGGTTATGTTAGCTCGAGCTGATTCTTACCATGATTATACACGTACATAATTTCATTCTTAGTTAATTTCATATCGTGTTTGATATTCGTGATCGCGCGGTTTGTGCTCGATTTGCGATACGTTAAATGTATCGGGAACGTTGAAAAAGTTTTCGATCGAAATGGCATTAAGCAAAAAGAGTCAGAAATTGAAATGTGCAAGTCAGGCAGAGATTCTTCGATCGCATCAAAGAGACGAAGACTTCGTCAAACACATGCGAGAGAAAGTTATAGATCTTCTGCAGATCGTTGGACGAAGAACGGGTACCTTATCCTTAGTTAACTCCGATGTACCGTTTAAACTGATTTACTTCTTTTTTACGTCGGGAATGGGAAATCAAACTCTAGGCGAAGAATATACTGGAATAGTGCAAGCCAATTTAGAAGCTCGCAAAGTTCCATCGTTACTTGTATGTACTCAAAGTACTAATGTAAAATGTATGATACCTTGTTAATATTTGACATTTACATGTTATTTAGGCAAGGGTACTATCGGTGATTTTAGAATGCTTAGGAGAAAAGGCATTGTTAAAAATATTAAAAAGGTTACAGGCGTCTGTTAATCATCCCCATAGCGAATTGACCCCTGTAGCTGTTACCTTTTTAAATTCATTTATATCAAAAATGTCTACTATGTTACCTATTTTTATACTGATTCATAAGGGATTATTTTATATGTACGGTCGCTATTATAGCCTAGGTAAAAGATTAACAGGAATCGATTATGCAAAGGTAATTTCTGAACAACAGGTCTTTTTTTCTGAGATAAATCGATTTGTCATCTATAATTATTTCTAAATTTGAAGGTGTATGGTCATCATCCAACTGATGGTATCAGTTGGGGATTAAGGTTATTGGGAATTGCTACACTTGCAGAATGTGTATTAAAAATTTGGCAGAACACGTATAATGATAACCGTAACGATAACTACCAATCATTAAATGAGAAGTACACTAGATCAATGTGCCAGTTGTGTCTTGAAAGAGTGCCAACGACTACCACACCTTGCGGTCATTTGTTTTGTTGGTACTGTCTTGCAGATTGGCTAAGCACTAAACCGCAATGTCCTCTATGCAGAGAACATGTTATACCTTCCAGAATTGTACATGTGATGAATTTGTAATTTTTTAGATATTTAAAACGTTAATATAGAATGTGATAATTGTAGAATAAGTAAAAAAAAATAATTTTATCTTCCACTTTTGCTCAAATAATTAGCAAGTTAAGGGATAAATGATCTATCAAAGTTATTCTTTCGGTACGTTTCAACATCCTTATAATTTTTTTTTAATGCTAATTACTACACATCTGTGCTAGTATTAATTTCATACAGATAGTAGTAATAAATACATTTGAATGTGATAAATCTAAAGCAAACAAATAGTTGGACACGTATTTACATTCAGATATACATGTAAATATATATATATACATATATATATATAGTATATATATATATACAAAAATATCAATTTTTTTTATTTATGCCACGCGTATATATACGCTGCTGCTTGTATAACAATGCGTTATTCACATAAACGATAATGTACAGTTGTTTTATTTTCATTGCATAGCGTTTTTATAAAATTCTGAATTGAGTCAAGGAATCAATAACAATGAACTCATGATCGTGGGAAGTTAATGACATTGTAGTCACAAGGATGTGCGTTGAACAGAAAGGATTCCTACTTTTTCGGCAAAATTGCCGAGTAGCTGGCCGAAGCCGCTCGATTCAGAATTGTCTTTCATTCGAAATCCAACAGTATGGCTATAAGCGTTATAAAATATTCTTCTTAAACACTGTAACTTTTCTCTCCGGGATCTGAAACAGATACAAACCGTCTCGCGCATTAAACAAATTTTACTTTAGCTCCGCGTATGTTCTTTGGAAAACGGTTTGCTACTTACTGTGCTAACGATGCACATGCTTCGTCTTCGATAATCGTCGTACTCGATTCTAGAGACGCGTGTCCTGTACAAGTTTCGCAAAGAGGTTTGCACACTAAACTAGAAGACGTTAATCCGTCCGCGAGGGGGGCATTGGCAGTCGTGGAACCACGTAAACTTCCGGTTCCTGATATCATCTGCCAAGAACCGCCAGACGACGAAGATTCGTTTCGTTGTCGGAGACGTCCTGGTACAGGAACCGCTACAGGAGAAGTCCGATTCGGAGGAAGGGGCGACCGTGAACCATGAGCGATACCTTCCTTGTTTGGAGAAGGATAAAATGACCATGGTACAACATTCCTACAAAGGAAGATTAAAAAATTAATAGAAGTAATAGGACGCGAGCTTTATGTAAATCTTCAAGTATTCAACCGAGAAACTCGAGCATACATCGTACAGGTTTCTATAACAGAGAAAGAAAACAGTTAAAAGCAAACATACCCGTTACTGTGACAATCGTCTTGACTCTCCGTGGAAGCACAATGAAACACTGCTGGTGGATTATTATCTTGACTATCCCTGCTGTTTTGACTAACAGAGCTACACCAACTATTCAGACTCAAGTTGGAACTGACCGAACTTAGGGTCACTACCGATTCACTATCGAACATAACATTATCTAATTGCGAGTCGCTGTCGTTGCGTAGAACTGCATGCCTGGATCTGCTATGACGCGGATGAACGCTAAATTCTTCGTCGTGAATGTGCTTTAGGAAATAGAAGCAGAAGAAAAATATTTCTTCTCCTTTACTTAATCTGTCTTCCAAATCGTGACCAAACAGCATCCAGTCATACGCTATCGTATAATACAGAATTTGAAACGCATTTAGCGATGTGTGAATTGCACCATCAGCCCACAAACTTATCCTCAACAATGAAATAAATAATGGTGTGCGATCCCAACCTGGAAATAGCGCTCGATAGTTATATCAAATACAGATTAAAGTAGATGTAAATTAACTACATTATACATACCCGAGATACAATGTATCAATACTCCACTACTACTATCACTCAAATATCTTAATATCAGTTTTAAATAATTTTGTGAAAGCTTGACTAGATCCCAGACTTGGTACTGTTCCCAACTGATTCTTAATTGAGTAGAAATCGAGTCCTCAGGCACGCCAATTTGTGCATCTACGTGAGTCTGAGACCAATCGAACACTAGACCCTTAGCCTGATAATCATTTTCTCTAAACTCCCTGAAGAATTCACATCCAGGATATGGCAGTGAAATTAGGGTGAAGTCTGAGTACCTCTTCTCTTTGTCTACTTTCTCCGAGGACGTCACGCTGAGTACCGAACAAAAGAGCTCTGTTTAACGTCCTCTAAAAGTGGATTCATAGGATAAAAAAAACTGATCATGCTATTAACTGCTATGAAACTTCACTGAATCTGTGAAGAACCGAAAAACTGTATGGTAGTTATTTTATTTTTAGTATTTAATCTTATGTCTGAGTAATTGTATTATAGCAACAAGATCAGTGAATATATACAATATAAATCTCAACATCTCCCATCTTAGAACTTTCAATACATAAATTACATTTGTACATACTTATTATCTCCTTATTCCTTTTTTATATAATATAGTATATGCAGTTAATTTGTTTTGGGTCTCATTGTATTGAGTGAAAAATGTAACAGAGTGTTTACTTTTTCAAAAACATACATGCACAGAAATTATTATTTAAATTCAATAGCTTACTTCATTCCAAACTTGACCTTCTTCTTCTCAACCATGAAATCAATAATTGTTCCTACGTTAAGTGTTTTCAGGAGTTTAATATCTTGATGCCTAACTTTGTCAAATAATTGCCAATCGCTAAGTACAGATTCGCTTCCGCGAGCTTCGTCCACTTGTTGCTGAATAGATACTATCCCTTCGCTACCAGCAAACAAATAATCTAATCCAGATCTACCATAAATTTCTGGTCCACCGGACAGCGTGGCTGATCTGCATACGTGTCTACCTTTATACAGTATTACTGGCAGTGGAAATCTTGAACGACACCTGGCGAATCTAGCACTTTTTATCAATTCCTTCAATTTATTCGGATCGTACATGCTTTCATATATAGTTTCTGTTGCGCGTGGCAGTGGCGGCGGTGTATCACACATATTTGGATTTCTATACTTCTCGTACTCTAAAATGATAAGATGGCTAGGATAGTGCGCACTGAGATCACCTCCATTATTATTTATTATAGAGTGAGTATAATCTAAATCAGTGAGTAGCAGACATCTTTGCATAATAGCTTGGCTCTAAAACAATAACATCCTTTAGAATTTGGGACCTCAGAACGCGCATTACAACACGTGCATATAGAACAATTACCGTGCTGTCTGCATCCTTAGCTCGATAAGTGTTTTTCGAGAAGTATATGAGAAGTTTCTGTAAATCTTGAATGCTGATTTCTGTCATGATTGATGTTTGGTAGACCGTATTATTGAAATTTAAACTAAAAGGCAAATTTTGCTTAAGGAGGTCCTAAATCTCTGTAATTCTCACGAGGACGCTCACGAGGCATTAACTGTGGCCAATGTCTTGCATACGACAGGAATGGCACGAACACTGTATTTAAAATATACCACATAACATCACAGGTCAACACTTGTTATATACTATTTGTCACAATTTGCTTTTAAGTGTAAATTTTATTTACTTATTTGATGTCATTATTGCATTTCATTCTAACAATATAGTCTAGAATAGATAAGGCAAAGTGCATAAGAAAGATCCTGTTATACTTCTTAACCTCATATAAATAATGTAACTTTTAATATAAACATAAAATATTATAGGTTTTTAAAAGCATATCATCTGTTAAATGAACAAGACTTTAATTCTTATTAACAGACTACAAAATAAGACTACACTGATATGAAAAATGAAAATAGTAACTATGAGATTTATGCAGCAAACAGCGCAAAATTTTACTTCAGTTTTCTTTAATGTCTGTACAATCTTTCAAAATAAATATAAATTACTAGTTGAAATACTAATAAACAAATATCATACAAGTGTTTGTTAGCACCACGCTTGGAAGATTTAATCTAGATTGCTTTGAAATCTTATTAAATAGAAATAAATATTTCTTTTTTATTGTGCTGATTTACTATGATAAATAAAATCGTTTTCATTTAATAAACTGCTCTTAAAATCGACGCGAATGTACAAACTGTATGTAACAAGGTTTACTTTTCAAGTACAAATTATAACAACGATGAAACAGTCAGTGGTATCTTGATCATTAAAATTCAAATATCGAACAGTATATATCGTTTATCTCGTTCAGTTCGACAATTTCCACTTTTTCTTTCACTGTATTTTATTATTGTATTTTTTTCCCCCTTCCAGCCTTTCAATTAGATTACAGATATAATTTTAAACTGGTCTCCCTTCTTCGTCTTGTGACGTAAAATTTCGTATTCGACGATGCGGAAAAAAAACGAACTGATGTTTAAATAAACTTTTCCCAGGGATTCTGAGTAACGTCTCAGGTAACAATGCGGACTTCGGAATGACTTAACCTGATTCAAGTCATGCACGCCGCTTTCATTGTCGCGAACACGTTAACCATGTCTGAAAACATCGGCAGAAGTTCCATCAGACGAAAAACGAACGAGAAATCAGAAAGTTTTTCGTGGAAAATATCCATGGTATCTCATCGTGTCCCGATCTCGATGATAATCCAACAAGATAACCTAAACATCACTCCCGAGGAAATATGTCTCACGTTACTCGCAGCGATACGAATTTGTCCCGAGAACACTGTCATCCTCTTTGTTTACAACATTATCTCGATCGTGCGCCCGAAAAAGCTGTTATCTCGTTATCACAGTGCACGCGTTTTATTTAAAGATCGCTTTAAAGGACAGTCGTGCCCCTGTTTTTGGCTGTCGATCTTGTATCCGCACGACGTCCTTGGTTTCCCTCCTTTCACCCACGCGCCAACAAACACGAAAAATTAATGCAGATTTTCGCGGAATAACTCGAGATTTCTTTTTTCTCGCGCACCACGCTAGCAAAAGCGTGTACCAGTCGCCTGGCAGGACGAAAGTACGAAGTGAAATGCGGCGTAGAAAGATAACCTATTTTTGCAATGTGGCGAACGCGTGTTTTGCTCGCATGGTATCGCCAGATTTTAACCTCTTCGAACCTGAAATTTTTTTTCTTTGCATACAAAAAGAGAAAATATTCCTCGTGTGCTTCTAGCTGTTTAGGATTTGGCAAATGTAAATAAGTTACAACGGTCGTAACGGTTTGAATAATTACGACGACATTTATCGTAACAACGTACAAAGCTATTTGCCGAGATGTTCGTAGCGTAAAAATTCGTATGTATGTAAAATTGTAACCTGACACGTTTCAGATTACGATTCAAAGCTTAGTGTTAGGAGTAAATATGATTTTTTTAATCTGAGTCAGATTTGTACATCATTTATAAAGACAGGAATGTTGAAGTTAAAGTAAGAACGTTAAACAAATCAAAGTTAGTGATTGATACAAAAATAGAGCTTTGTCGAATGGTTTATTTTTCAGTTAAATGTAATAGTAACAAATCTCTATTGATTCTAGTTAATTACATTTTTGGTTTTGTATTTTGTCGATGGATCAGTTGTTACGACATGGATGCTAGACACTAGACACGAGGGTCATAGGTTGTCGACCACTGATATAGAACATGACCTATTTTACAATAAAAATATTATTTTAAGTGCTCCTAGTTGCACACGCAATAGAATTTTCCTCTGCAATATTGATTTAACGACTCGTTAAAGTATTATTATTTCAATACCTCATTACTTTAACAAATCTAAATATAGATAACCTCTTACAATGATCAGTCTACTTAATTCACCTTAATTTATGTTAATACATTTGCGAAACATTATTCGAGATTAGCACTCATTTAAATTCATAGAATAAATAATTCATTTAGATTATCGTGAAATTTGATCGATCGATGAATTAATACGTTACAGGAATTTTTTATCCTTCGAGTTTATTGTAATTTGGGTAATCAGATATATTCAATTAATATTTCCATTCATGGGTTGATATTTTTGCGCAGGACAATATTTACACAAAATAATTGGTATTTCCTCCTTATCAAAATTTCTTCAATGAAAATTGTCACGAAATATAAAGACGCCTTTGACAAACATCTATGTTTGATACTTTGCGAAATAATGCGGAAATTGTAACGTCGTGCTATGGACAAAGTACACTCTCTGCAACCTTGTTTACTCTTATTATTTTTCAAGAATGTACACGAGGCTTCAGACCACTTCGTGTAATGAAGAACATGTTCCAACATAAGTACGAAACGTCGCGCGAGACCATGCTTCCAGGGATCTATTTTAGGTGTCGCATACTTTTAAACTTTTTCCTTTTGTAATAAATTTCAATTCGAGGAGCACGTTGCATTCCTGCGATATAAACTCGCGAACTTTATTATTCTACAAGACCACAGCTTGTTAACGCTTGAAAAATTGGCTTTCATTATTCCGTTAAATTTCAATAATAATTTCCTTGAAAACTTAAAACAATTATTCACTCCTGTATACGAAAGGAGCTATTAACATGCAGCTAACGTGACATGTGGATAACTTTGGGCATATTTCAGCAATAAGATTGCACGAATATCAACGAATTGCAAAAACGAACAAAAAAAATAAAAAAATATTCAAACAAATTTAGAGTGAAAATTACATTGTACTAATCGAGATATCTTTGTAGTATGAATTATATACAGTGGGTGTAGAATGTATTCGTACACCGATCAATTTCCCAAAAAAACTTTTGTGTGAAATTGTAGTTTCTTAACTTATTTTTTTATGATCAACGATATTTTACATATTCTCGGAAGTCTCTAAGATAGATATAGTCCAAACAACATTTACTAGTTAATATAATTTGTGAAATTAACAAAAAAATGCAAAAAGTGGGTAAAAGTATAGAAGCAATAACTATTTGTACGATTCTTGTGACGAACCATTTACAGTAGAGTATGTAACGTAAACACATTAGTTTATTGCTCCGTACGAATTAGAAAACATCGAATTTCCAAGAAAGTACTTTTAAAAATGAAGAAGAATTAAAAAGATTTAAAAACTGAAGGAGATCCCACTTCGAATAACTAATAATTTAGTTAATTTAATGCTTAGAAAAGTTACAATAATTATAAAATCAAAAGGAAATCCCACAATCGCAATATTTCCTGTAATGTTGACTCGCCACGAGTCAGACACCACGAGTCGGTTCAAAGCTTCGTTGAAAGATGGCGTTTCCCGCCGACAAAGGATAAATTTCTAATTATTCGAGCAAAAGTGGAAGATAAAATTATTTTTTTTTACTTATTCTACAATTATCACATTCTATATTAACGTTTTAAATATCTAAAAAATTACAAATTCATCACATGTACAATTCTGGAAGGTATAACATGTTCTCTGCATAGAGGACATTGCGGTTTAGTGCTTAGCCAATCTGCAAGACAGTACCAACAAAACAAATGACCGCAAGGTGTGGTAGTCGTTGGCACTCTTTCAAGACACAACTGGCACATTGATCTAGTGTACTTCTCATTTAATGATTGGTAGTTATCGTTACGGTTATCATTATACGTGTTCTGCCAAATTTTTAATACACATTCTGCAAGTGTAGCAATTCCCAATAACCTTAATCCCCAACTGATACCATCAGTTGGATGATGACCATACACCTTCAAATTTAGAAATAATTATAGATGACAAATCGATTTATCTCAGAAAAAAAGACCTGTTGTTCAAAAATTACCTTTGCATAATCGATTCCTGTTAATCTTTTACCTAGGCTATAATAGCGACCGTACATATAAAATAATCCCTTATGAATCAGTATAAAAATAGGTAACATAGTAGACATTTTTGATATAAATGAATTTAAAAAGGTAACAGCTACAGGGGTCAATTCGCTATGGGGATGATTAACAGACGCCTGTAACCTTTTTAATATTTTTAACAATGCCTTTTCCCCTAAGCATTCTAAAATCACCGATAGTACCCTTGCCTAAATAACATGTAAATGTCAAATATTAACAAGGTATCATACATTTTACATTAGTACTTTGAGTACATACAAGTAACGATGGAACTTTGCGAGCTTCTAAATTGGCTTGCACTATTCCAGTATATTCTTCGCCTAGAGTTTGATTTCCCATTCCCGACGTAAAAAAGAAGTAAATCAGTTTAAACGGTACATCGGAGTTAACTAAGGATAAGGTACCCGTTCTTCGCCCAACGATCTGCAGAAGATCTATAACTTTCTCTCGCATGTGTTTGACGAAGTCTTCGTCTCTTTGATGCGATCGAAGAATCTCTGCCTGACTTGCACATTTCAATTTCTGACTCTTTTTGCTTAATGCCATTTCGATCGAAAACTTTTTCAACGTTCCCGATACATTTATCGTATCGCAAATCGAGCACAAACCGCGCGATCACGAATATCAAACACGATATGAAATTAACTAAGAATGAAATTATGTACGTGTATAATCATGGTAAGACTCAACTCGAGTTAACATAACCTTACGTACAAAACAAGAATTTAATTCATTACTCCGCAGTTGGTATATCTACCAGGAAAATAAAAATGAATTCGGTGGTTATGCAAATGACAGAATTATGGCGTTGCATCCTAGATAACCTCAAATATACCGTGAAAGTTTCAAACTTCTAACCTTACGATTACAATAGAAATAACGACTAATTTATAGTATTGCGAGAACAAAGAATGTAAATATTTCATAAGAATCAAAATGCACCGTTAAAATCGTATCATGAGACAGGATGAACAGTATTCGTGGGATGCTCGGTTATAATTTATATCTTTAATAAATTTTAGTTAGAGCGTGTTTTTAAATGATTTTAATTTCTGGTGACTGTTGGATATTATAAAATATTTTGTGGTGTACTCAAATGCTTTATTTCAAGATAGCATTTATATGTGCGCACAAAATGGATGCACATTGCACACGATTTGTATAAGTGTCGTTTCCCGCCGGCGGCGCCACTCCAGTTCCAGTGCGTTGCGCGTGCGCGGCTGGCGCGTATTTCTGGACAAACGATCCAGCGGAATCGGAACTGGCACTCGCGAGAGGTGGCAAGAGACGCAAGATGGCGAGTACGCGATGAAACGGTGCTGCGTCGTCGATGGATCATCGTGAATTTTTCACGGACAAACCGTCCGTTCTGTGTGATATTAGCGCTGGTATGGGGCCGTGGGCGTTCGTACGTGTGCCGCATGCTGATAAACGACGCGCGTGCGGTTAGTGATTACGCTGATCGCCCGTAGACGAAACGTTTTCGCGAGGCGAGCAGGCACCGATCGTAGACAGTGTCGAACTCCGAAAACGCGTGTGTGCGCGCCTCAGTGAAAGTAAACAAACGGTATGAGTGCGGTACTGGGTAGTGTCGGTGACCCTACCGGTCTCCTGGACCCCGACGTCGAGACCATCCTCGAGGAGAAGAATCAACTAATTAGCCGGCAGTATGCCGAAATCGAGAGATTGCAACGCGAGCTCACGGAGGTCATCGGCGAACGGGACGCCCTGCTCTGCGAGGTGTCAAAATTTAAGTTTGAGCGCGAGATGACCGATCTGAAGCGCCTCCACGATGACAGGTATTTATCTAACAAACAAATTGTCCTCATTTCCATACAATCCAACGGAATGCAAATAAATGTTTCTTTTACCGATGAATGTTTAACACGTTGCGAAATTCATTTCTTTGCGCCACGCTGCATTGCTAGCTTACAAACATACGTAATAAGCGTGTTGACAATTTAATATGAGTTCATTCTTAAAACTTGTGTTCTCAGTCTTATGTGGACTTGGTCCGTTTCAAACTTGTATCAGGTTTGGTTTATGAGAGATACTCAAGAAGAGTATCATTACTTTTTGATCACCCAAGGTAACTGAACTCTATATTGAAAGGGACCAAAAGGCTGTTTGTATTTAATATAATTTATTCTTAGTGTAATTCTGTATCACGTTTAGTTTATAAATTATATTCGTTACAAGTATGATATTCTCGTACTCAAAGGGGGGAGTCTGGTCCGGCTAATGTATTTTTCTAATGCATATAATATGTAGTAGTCGAATATATACATATATACTCTATATGCATATGTATTTGAATGTATACATATATACTATATACGTATCTGTACACATTCAAATATAGTATATATATATATATGTATTTGAATGTATACATATATACTATGTACGTATATGTACACATTCAAATATAGTATATATGTATACGTATACATTCAAATTAAATCTACACTGTCAAATTTTCTTCTTTGAACGTCCCTTTATACGTAAAAAAAGTTTCAATAACAAAAATTAATTATATCTGGAAATTATATGCATTAGAAAAATACATTACATGGACCAGACTCCTCCCTTAAAGGAATATAACTTCTGAATTAATCGTAACAGAGAAGTGCGGTTTAGGGCATTATTTTCTGATAAATTATATTAAACAGAAACATGATTAAGTGCTCTGAAACCTCACTGGGTGGTATGATTGTTCTTTGGAGGATTTGAGAGCCATAGGCCCTCAGTTATGATGTGTTACAAAGTGACACTGTTGTGAGGTGTTACAAAATTATGTTTCAAATAGCAAGAGATTTGTGTATGGTATAATGATGTACCATAGATTTTTGAGAAGCTTCACAGTCAAAGACCAGAAGTCCCAAAGAAAGGTTATCATTATTCTGTGATATTAAATGTGATATTATCAAACTTTAAGTAAACATGACATGTAAGAATCGCGGTTTGCTACATTGTTTTTTTAATAAATTACATCGAATAAAGCCATGATCAAATCGCTCCCCATACGAATCTTCGGAACGTTTGATACATTAAACTACGAAATTATGATTGGTCGTAGTCAGTCGAACGCGCTCGTTCCGAGGTATCTCGTTCTTTCCTGTTTGGTTCGCCGACTACTAAATTTCATTCGAAAACAAGTTTAATTCGATAAAATTGTCGAGTTAGCGGGTTCCAGCGGTTCATTGGTTCGCGCCCTGGGCGTGAATTATTATTCGATGTAGTGTAGGATTCGAGATAGGCTCAATGACACCGTGCCCCGACGGCGAGGAAACGTTGACGCCGCTCGTGTTGATACGGTTATGCGCGCCGCTCGCGTAGGTGAAGGTTTCGCGTTGTAATGTGCCGAGCGTTCACATTGTTGCGTATCAGACGAACGTGGAAACGCGATTTCGCATAAATGATGTATCGGCAACTTTTTTGCTGGTGTTTTGTCGCGTCATTTATCGACGTCTCGAATTATCGTTTCTTCGGTAAAAATTCGTGAAAATTTCTCAAAGTTAAAATTTAGTCCCGACATGGTTGGAAAATACGATAACTTAACACTTGTCGCATTATTCAATTGTTTGACCACTACATATTCACGAATACTATCCAAATTTATTTTCATTCGCGGCTCGGTTGTGGAGTTAAGTTGTTTTAGTCCCTAACGAAAAGTTCTGTCACCCATTTCTGTTATCAAACATTACCAAACTCGAAGCTGGGAAGTTTGTAGAATTTTCTGCTCAGTTAGATTCATACAGTGGGTGTAGAAAGTATTCGTACACCGAACAATTTCCAAAAAAAACTATGTAAAATTGTAATTTATTAACTTATTTTTTATAAACAATGACATTCTACATATTCTCGGAAATCTCTAGAATACATAAAGTACAAAAAAAATAGCTATTTATGTAAGTTACGAAATGTCGAAGCAATAAGTATTCGCACAACAAATTTACATTAATTTACAAGTATATAATACTTCCTTCGTGGGATTTCCTTTTGATTTTATAATTATTGCAATTCTTCTAAGCGTTAAATTAACTAAATTATTAGTTATTCGAAGTGAGATCTTCTTTAATTCCTCTATTAGAGCCATTTTTAAAAGTAATTTCCTGGAAATTTGATCGTTTTCTAATTCGTACAGAGCAATGAGCTAATGTGTTTACGTTACAAACTCTACTGTGAATGGTTCGTCATAAATAGACTGCGGATCTTTATGAATTTATAGGAAATTTGAACGCGGAAGAAATTACAAAATGCAAACAATATGCAAGAATATAAAAAAGATTGAAAGCAACGTTCATGTTATAATATTTTCGGAATAAAATAAATTCCTATTTAGGTTCAATTTTTCTAGGCACGTTCGCGAAGATTTTTTATTTTGCATAAGGATCCGCAGTCTAGTCATAAGAATCGTACAAATACTTATTGCTTCTATACTTTTACTCACTTTTCGCACTTTTTTGTTGATTTCACAAATTATATTAACTAGTAAATGTTGTTTGGATTATGTCTATCTCAGAGTTTTCCGAGAATATGTAAAATATCGTTGATTATAAAAAAATAAGTTAAGAAACTACAATTTCACACAAAAGTTTTTTGGGAAACTGATCGTTGTACGAATACATTCTACACCCACTGTAGGTTTTGAGGAATGTATTGTGCCTTTATAAAATTAACTCGAGCGTGTAATTGATTTCAATTCTCTGCCGGTTTGCTACTGATTAAAATCGAAACGAGTCTCTTGATTGCGAGTTTACGTGGTTTGATAATTCTTTTTGCAAATTACACGTCCAACAGAGTTTCTCAACCCGTGCTCGACCTTATAAAATACACGTAGACGTTTTCATTGAGTACAATTTTTTTTTTAATGAATTTTTTTTTTTTTATCAACGGTTCCGAGATGCGATAAAGAAATAATTGCAATAAAATGCAACAAATATGATATTTCAAGTTAACGAAAGAAAGAAATTTAACGGTTCGTCGGCGATTGTAATAGTATGATATAATGAGTTAGGAGTTCCCGTTTGTAGAAAGTTATGTACCAGTTTCCCCGGCTAACTTTATTCCACCAATTATTATGTTATGTAATTATGTAGTTAGGAGGAACTCCTCGTTATCCGGCGACTCTATACATATATATATATATACATATATATGTATATATGTAAATGCTGGAACAATGCAGACAAATATACTATGTATTCGCTGCTGTAACTAGCCCCCGAAGCAATTTACTATTTTATCAGTTTTAAAATTCCCCTATAATTACTATCGTGCGAATATTAGATATTCGCAACGTATACATTCTTTTTTATAATGAAAAGTTGAGCATTTTTCACGAAAGAGCTATCGTTCGTTATATACGTATAATTTTATTTGAAATATACGTTAAGAACTATGAATGACGATAACATTAAACGAAGCTTGCTCGTTATAGTTTATCAAGCTTAGACGATAGCAAAAACATTGCAACCATAAGGAAAACCGAAGAATTGCGATGTCTGTGATGACTAATGACCGAACGATCGACCTTGACGATGGCTGCTGTTTCTATTGATTATCGCGACACGAGAACACAGGAAACCTCTCATACAACATTGTTATTCATCCAGAAATTGGGTCGATCATTAAATCGCGCTGCGTTATCTGAAATCGTGCCACTCCGGCATTCGATTTGCACCAGTAGTA